AGGCGCGCCTGAAGGGCACCGCGGCCTGAGGTCGGCAGGCTCTCGCGCGCCCGCGGAGCAGGTGCTCTTGCGAGAGCCTCCCGCGGCCGTGTGAGACCCGCGCTCCTAGCCGAAGTTTTCCAGTGTCTGCGCTCTGCCCCGGCGCCTGCGGCACGTGCAGCCGATGTGCCAGCGCGGCGCCCTCTGCGGCGACCCCTCGAGCAGCGCTCTTGAAGGCTGCCACTTGGGGCAGCTCTGTCTCCTGGGCTCCAGAGGGCCATGATTTGGGCGAAGATCATCGGCAGCTTCTCTCTGAGGGCCCAGAGCACCGTGACATAATTTCGTCGGCTGCCTTCCCCGGGCCAGCAGAGTAGAACGTTGCGCAAACACACCTCGGGAGCTCTTTGGTCTCGTTGAGGGTGAGGGGAAGGGTGGTGGGGGGTGCTGAGGGGAGGGGGAAGGGGATGGTGAGTGGGGAGGGTGATAGGGGACGTGGTTTCGTGGTCGAGTCAGAAGGCGAGGCTACAGGAGTGAGTTCGGAGGAGAACATCATGGGAGCTTCTTTAGGTATCCTGGGAGCCTGCTGGGGGTCGGCGGGCCATGCGCGAGCGTCTTGCGGACTTGTGGCGGGACTTCGGCGGACAGATTGGGGGTGGGGGGGGGGTAGTTTGGTTCCGTCTAGCGGGTATCTTGGGGCCGCGTTGGGGCGGTCTTGGCTCCTCTTGCAGCCATCTTTTGGGGAGGGGTGTCTTGGAGCCATCTTGGGGCGATCTTGAGGCTGGCTCGTGGGTTCTTGAGCCTCCGTAGGGCCCCTGTCAGGGGCACTTGGACGCATCGGGGGGTCTCTGTTGCAGATGATTCTAGGGACATCTTGCGGCCTGCAAGGGTAGTGTCCAGCGTGAGGCCACCGCAAAAGGAAGCACCCAGTGTTTGTCGATGCGTTTGGCGTCCTCAGGGCATCCTGGAACGCCTTTGCGAGTCCCCTCGGGAGGTTCGCTGAGTCTCTTGGGGCACCCCGAGCGGATTTCTGGGAAGACGCGGATGTGGAGAAGGTGTGCCGAGGAGGAGGAAGAGGAGGAGGAGGAGGAGGAGGAGGAGGCAGAGAAGAGGAGGGTTGGGGGAGCCTTTGGGGCCGTCATGCGGCTCTCTTGGGCTGCCCGGACGCTCTCTTGGGCGCCTCTTGATGCTGTCGGGGCGTCGTTGGGGCTTGCTGGCGGTTTGGGAGGTCATCCTTGGGCGGGTGACTCGAAATGTCGTTTCGTGTTCCTCTTCTTGGGGCACTCTTGAGACCGCTTTGCCTTGGGCCGTTTTGGGGGCCTGATGGGCTGTCTTGGAGCTCTCTTGGGTTGTCTGGGGCTCTCTTGGGTGCCTCTTGGGCGGCCTTGCGTAGGCCGATCTTGGTGCGCTCTTGGCGCATCAAGGAGCGTCGAAGACCCGACAAGGCCTTTAAATCCGCGAACACCGTAGAAACAATCGAAGAGTTTGGCCTCTTTGGGCGCCTCTTGGAGCGGTCCTGGTCCGTCTTGGCAGCCTCCTTGAGCTGCTGGAGACCATCCTGAGCGTTTCGGAGCGCTTTGGGGCCCTTTCCGAGCCCTTCTGGCCCGTATGCGGGCCTTTTGGGGTTCTCTTGGCTCGTCGTGGGGCGTTCTTGTTTCTCTGGGGGCCCAGAAGGGACTCCGATGAGTTGGCCCCCCCCCCTCCCCCCCTCCCCTGCCCCCACAAGCGGTTTTGGACCTTGGGAGAGGGGGAGGGAGAGGGGGAAAGGAGAGGGGCTTCAGCCAATCATCTCACGGACCCCCTGTGAGCGGGGGTTGGCGGATAACGCGCGCCCCTGACAGCACTCGAATTTTATAACGCAGGGACCCGGCCAGCCACAAGGAGGGGTGCCCATGTCGGGGAGGACGAAGGGGGGGGATTGGGAAAGGGGGGGTTACGAAATTTGCTGCATGCAGCTGGTTTCGGCCTCACCGAGGGGCCCATTCCTCGATACATAGCCGCCTCCGGCGGAGGGAGGCGCCGGTAAAATCAGCTACGGGAGCTGATTCTCAAACCCCCCTTTTGCCATCCCCCCCTTTCGCCCGACCCGAATGTCGGGGAGGACGAAAGGCAGGGCAGAGGAAGAGCCGGCACGTCTGCCGCGTGCAGCTGGTTCCGGCCCCGCCGCGGGGCGCGCTCTGCGGAAGCATGGCCGCTGCTGGCGCCAGGAGGCACTGGTGGAACCAGCTGCGCGCAGACGCTTCGCCAGCCTCCCTTGAACGAAGGATTGCAAAAAAAAAAACCGAAGGATTGCAAAACAACCCTTTTTTGGAATCCTTTTTGCAATCCGGGTTTTTTTTGCAATCCTTCGCAAAAGCTCTTCGAATCAGGGGAACAAGAAGTGGCATAGACATCAAAACTCGGAGGTCCGCGCGGATTTCTCGGATCGGCGCTGGACCCCCCTCCCTGGCGCGCGGAGCGCGCCAGGGGCGGCGCCGGAGGCGCCGCCGGGGGGCCCCAGCGCCGATCCGAGAAATCCGCGCGGACCTCCGAGTTTTTCTGTTTATGCCACTTTTTGTTCCCCTATGAATACCCCGCACCTTCTGATCCCCTGCTCCTCTTCTGACCCCTTCTATCCCTTCTGATCCCCTTCTGATCCCCTTTTGATCCCCTTATGATCCCCTTTTTGTTCCCCTTATGAATATACCCATCCTGGCCGTTGCAATCCCCTGCTGACCTGCAGACTTCGGTGGCCTGGCAGCTGGTCGTTCCGAAACAGGGTCTCCTGCCCTCCTCGTCCACCCCCCGTCCTGTCCATCCTTCCTTCCCAACAGTTGCCCTCCTCCTCCTCCTCCTCCCCCTCCTCTCCTCCTCCTCTCCTCCTCCTCCTCCTCCTCCTCCTTCTCCCCCTCCTCCCCTCCCCCTTCTCCTCCTCCTCCCCCTCCCCCTCCTCCTCCTCCTCCTCCTCCTCCTCCTCCTCCTCCTCCTCCTCCTCCTCCGACTCCCCTTCCAGACCGTCTCGGAGGGGGTGGAGGGGGGGCTGGCTTCCCACACATCTCGAGACCCACACATCCGAAGGAGTGTTCCGTCAGTCCGGGCATTTTCCTTCACTTCAGGCTCCAGGAGTCGTTTTCTGAACCCGGGGCCAGGACAATAATGGACCTGGGGCGAGAAGCCACCCTTGGGAAAGAGGTCGAGGCCAGCGGTCGCCGTGGGCCAGCGAGGCTGCGTGTCTTTCCTCCAGAGATCGCATCGCTCCAACCAACCCTCACCAGCAGTTCTGCAGGAGGACCACTGGAAGATTGGCCCTCGCAGGAGGCTCAAGCGCTGTACAGTCAAGACGCTGAAACGAAGGACCGCTTTGGGTCCAGAAGGGGCTGGCTGCTCCTTCACTAGATCTTTCCATGGCTGTTCCTCTGGCCCTCTTCGTGCACGCTTTTGGAGCTCAAAAGGGGCTTCGTTCCTGATCTAGCGCTTCAGCAGCCAGACTGTATTTCGTCCTCGCCCTTTCCCTTCAATGTGGGAGGGCGGGTCGTCTTTCTCACAGTGCCAGGGCCGAGGCTCTGAGGGGCCGAGGCCGACGAACAGATGCAGCACGGTGTCGGAGGGCGAGGAGGCGTGCGGAGCAGGAGAGGAACGACGAGAGAATCGGGAACGTAGAGAGGGACGAGAGGAGGAGGAGTCCAGGAAGAAGGGGGAGGAGGTCATAGGAGGAAACGGTACCCATACCGCTACCCTTCGCCCGTTTTCCTTTTTGGGGGCCTCCTGGAAGGCCATCGATGCCACCGCTGGATTCACGCACCCCGGCAGAGGTCTGGGGAGCACTAGCGGTATCGGTTCTTTGTTGGTTCCCCTGGCGGAGGAGAGGAAGCGGGAGGAAGAAATGCGGAGGAGGAGGAAGAGGAGGAGGAGGAGGAGGAGGAGGAGGAGGAGGAAGGAAGGAAGGAAGGAATGAAGGAGGAGCAGCAGTGCTCTGTTCAGGATGAGGGCCCGACGTCTGGGAGGGGCGGGACAGATCGCGACGTCGGACAGAGAGTGGAGGATCTGGCCGGTTTTGCTCCCGCCCCGGGCCCTCACTTTCTTGGAGGTGACCCCACGAGGCCTCCAGAGCCCCCCGAGGCCCAGAAAGGGTAGGACATGCTTCACATATTTTCAACTGGGGCAATGACAGTCAGCAGCGACAGAAGGACGTACACCTACAAACATCCACGGTGGTTTCGAAAGTACGCATTGCGCGAACGTTCGTATCCCTCTGCCGGTCGTGGATTGGGGAACCGTGCTCACGTACGTGGTTGGGCGCGTACGTCCTTTGTGGGCTCCCTAGACAGGGGGGGAGATAGGCTTGGGGGGAGCGCACCGACCCCGACCGTGGAAGCGATCGCCGATGGGAGCCCGACAGCCCATCCTGCTGAAGAACGCTCGTCTTTGTTATCGGGGACAAATCGCCGATTCATCGGCGATATATCGCCCATTCCAGGTCAATGTCCTTCCCCCCCCTCCCGAGCTGGTCCGTTTCGACCGTCCCCCCTTGTCCGCACATGCCTGAAAGACTCGATTCCCCAGCAGCTCCTGGGGGGTGTCCGTGGTCACCGCTTATATCCCCCGCGGACGAGAGGTTTATCACATGTACCTCTCGAGGCCTCATCAGAACATCTTTCGACAGTGTGCTCAGCTTCCCTCGGAGGCGGTAGTGGCACTCGCAGGCGATTTGTCTACCCTTCTCCCCGTGTTCCTCCCGAAAAGACTGGCCGCTCAGACAAATGGGGAAACCCTGGGATACAACCCAGGGGGGCTATACGGACGCACGACCATCGAGGACGGACGCCCCCCTTTGTGTATCCCACGGTTGGGCCTAAAATTTCTAGTCCATGCGAACACCCCACGAAGCTTGGGATAGGGATCGGCATATCCCCTGTTAGGTGCGAATTACTTCTCCTCTGGGGGCGAGGAGCCCGAGGTCAGCGCGATGGACCAGGGCATGCAGCGGATCCTGGCCGCGTCGGACGTCTCCGACGGCGCGTCCAGCGACTCTGCGTCCTCGGCAGGCCTGGGCCGCCATGGTCGCCGTCGCTATCATCGTCGTCGTCGCCGCCGTCGCCGTCGTCGTCGTCGTCGTCGTCGTCGTCGTCGTCGTCGTCGGCCGACGTCTACCAGGTAGCTCGATTCGGCGGCGAGTGAGGGGGGAAGTGAGAAGGGGCGGGCCTTCTCAGAAGGCAACGAAAACCACAGGCCTTCTGGTAAGTTTTCTAAGCCTTCCCCGCAGCCACAGAACACTTCGCAGAAGGCCGGATGGCGTTTGAGACGCCCCGCCGCCTTCTGAACAGAAGACCTTCTCCTTCTCACTGCCCCCCTCGCTCGCCGCCGATGGATACACATGGCGAAGCCAGCCTGGGCGAAAGTTGGATGCACATGTGGCCGCGTGTCCTTTCAGGCGTTGCTCGCGAGCCCTCCCCGCACGCGGCCTCACATGCCCCACACGAATCCAGCCATGAATCTTTCCAGCACCCTGGCACGTCTTTGTCGTCGTGGCTGCCGACGCCGTCTACGTCTACGTCTACGTCGTCGCTGCCGCCGACGTCGTCGACGGTCGACGTCTGCGACGTCGTCGTCGACGTCGTCGTCAACGGTCGAGGTCAACGACGACAAGAACGACGACGACGACGACGTCCTCGTTGCTGCAGGTTTTGGGCTTTTGTGGCCGCGGGCTCGGAAAGCCTGCCAGGACGACCCGCCTTGGTGGGCCCAGGATTTATTGTGTGCTGATTCTTGGGAGGAGAAGGAGGAGGCGGAGATGGAGCAGGAGGAGAAGGAGTACGCACGCAACAGGCTTCGTTCCTAATCTCTGAGCAAAGCAGGAAAAGAAGGAGGATGATGATGATGAGGAGGAGGGGGAGAAGGAAGAGGAGGAGTATGGGGAGGAGGAGGAGGAGGAGGAGGAAGACGAGGAGGAGGATGGGGAGGAGGAGCAGGAGGAGGAGGAGGAGGAGGAGGAGGAGAGAGGGAGGAGGAGGAGGAGGAGGAGGAGGAGGAGGAGGAGAGGGAGGAGGAGGATGAGGAGGTGGGGATCGAGGCTCGATGTTCGCGGGTTAATCTTTTGGTGAGTCTACGGAGGCTTCCAGGGGCCTCCTTTGGGGGCCGGCGGCGGGGGAGTCAGGAGTAAGGAGAGAGGGGTCGAAGGGATGACAGGGAGGAGGGCAGGGAGGATGGGGCGGCGGGGGGGCCGTCGCCCTCCTCCTTCTCCTCCTCCTCCTCCTCCTCCTCCTCCTCCTCCCCCGGGACCCTTGCACTCTCCCTGCTAGCGTCGGCGGGTGTGCGACATGGTAGAACAACCCCCACGAGAGTCGACCCAGTTCTTTTCAAACGCTGGGCAGACTCACGCCTCGACGCTGGCCACAGTTTGAATGTCCGATCGCGGGCAGCTGAGGCCCGTGGCGCTTGTGAATGAACCCCTTTGGGCACCCTCGACCTCCTCCCCTCGGCCACCCCCTCCCTCCGCCCTCCCACCACGCCCTCCGTCTCCTCCCCCGTTTCCCCTTTCTCGGCAGGTGGCCCTTTTGGCTCAGGCCTGGGCGCAGCCGAGGGGCTGGCCAACGCTTCGTCTCGCCTCGAGGGGCAAGCCAGAGCTTGCTTCGGGGGCCTGATCAGAAATCCGACCTGCAGGCCTGCCGCGGTGCTTGGGCAGCGGACAAGATTAGCCGTGTTCCCCCAGTCATGGCCGGCCGTGCCTCGAGCCTCCTGGAAGAGGGCGTCGCGAAGGTGAGCGGCCTATGGAAGCGCAGACAGTCGCAGGAATCGTGATTAGGGGCGCGGCGCCGCAAGAGGGGGGGTGGTCGCCGCCGCCCGACGTCGACAGAGAGTATTACAGAAACTGTTTTCCAGGCCTGGCCATAGTGACCAGGCGTCGCCCCCCAGACGTGGCGATGAGGACCAAGCACTTTCCAAATTGAGGAGCCTGTTCGGCAATGTCGACCAGCAGACCAGCAGAATGGCCGACATCGGGCGAGCAAGGTCCAATCGGGCTCCAGGCTTTACGTGCAGACGTCGCGGCGCAACAGGACTGCCCTAATACCCTTGACCTCAAGCCTGCCCACTCGGCGCAGGCGCAGGTCCATGAAGCTGCCCAGATCGTCGATACCCAGATCACAGCCTCGCTGAGCGCACGGTTCGAAACTTTGGCGGGTCGGTTGGCGGCCCCGCCTTCTTCTGTTTCGGCCCCCACCGGCCTTGCAGGAGAAGGGGAACGGCATGGGGCGACCGTAAGAAGATATGGAGTGGTGATGTTCCTCTGCCTTTTCGAAAACGCGTTCTTGGGGCACGTGCTGGCGCCATCAAAAATCATTCCCCATAGTATGTTCAAGCTGGCGACAGTCCAGAACTAGATTCATCCCAAGAGTTTCGCGTACGTCCGTCGAGGCGAAGTGGTTCCACGACTCGGCAAAAGAGACGGGGATCGTCTGGCTCGACCGCAACAGGCAGCAGCAAGGCCCCCTTTGAGCCGGGCTCGACGCTCCCACCGCTGCGCGGGCTAACCGCCGACCGATGGGGCTGTTGTGGCAGATGTGCAAGGAAAATTGACGTGCGCATGGGGCCGATGCGCGGAACTGGCAGATGGAAGTCTTTTAGGGGTTTGCACCAGCCGTTGTAGCATCTACGCCCACGACGCTTCGCGTCGGATAGACTTCGCTGCCAGATGGGCGCGTGTCTGCAGGGCGGCCTGCTGCCCACGCGCGTTCTAGATTCTATGGCGCCAGCGCTGATAGTGCTGACCCAGAGAGTTCTGTCCTCCTCCAGCTTTTCTTTCCTCATCTCTTTTGGGAGCTCTGGTGTTTGTTGCAATCCTAGGGCCGCTCCTCCTCGGCTTCCGTTGAGTTTGCGGCAAGTTCTCGACGGCCCCCTGGGATGCTAAATGGGTTTGCGGGGCGCTCTATTCCGATCTTCTCACTCTGCGGGTCAATGGCCGCGTCCTACACCTTCTCCTTGCTAATCACGGTGCTGCCTGCATCCAGATGTCCAGGGGTCCATCCCATGCGTTGAAAATAGCTCGTGAGGATGTGCCGGGTGTCAAATGCCATGGGGCGTTCGATCCCATCTTTCACGCCCCTGGTGGAGTTTGCGTTTTTGTCCCGCATGCGCGGCGGCAGTTTGGAAATGTGGACCGCGTCGTCATCGCGCGCGGGCCGTCTCACAAGTTCACCCTGGAGGTCGCGCGGGGCGCCCGAGTCATCATCGACGCGCGCGTCGATCCCAGCCGAAGTGTCGCTCAACGGCAGGAACCCGTGATGTGCCGTAAGGATTCCACACCGCCTGCATATGAAGCTGTTGTGTGTTCTGGCTGGCGACCTGCACTTTCTTGAATCGGGGGAGCGTAAGACCTGGGTTTGCCAGGACTCGGGTTCGCCATCGTTTTTTGACGACCGCGCCTCGGATTTTGGCGAGGAGGAGTTTCGTGGGATGTCTGCAGCGGGAGGCCTCGTTAAAATACAGGCTCGGCCTCGTCATTTTTTTGACGACCTCGTCGGGGATTTCCGAGTCCCCTGTACCCAGGTCTTACGTCCCTTTGATTGAACTGGGCACAAGACCACCATCCGCCCCCCGAACTCCACCATCCGCCCCCGAACTCCGCCACCAGACGCCCACGCCCTGCCAGCGGCCCTGCTGCCGCCTCCACCACCTCACTACCATAGGTAGGAGGAGGAGGAGGAGGAGGAGGAGGAGGAGGAGGAGGAGGAGGAGAGGAGGAGGAGGAGGAGGAGGAGGAGGAGGAGGAGGAGAGGAGGGAGGAGGAGGAGGAGAGGAGGGAGGAGGGAGGGGAGGAGGAGGAGGAGGAGGGAGGAGCGCACGTAGCTGAACCTCGGGGGGCGAGCTGTTCCGGGCGCCCCCGCACTCCGCCATCCTCGGGCAGCCGCCGGCGCCCCGCAGGGTGGCGCGACGAGCGTGCCACGTCGGCAGGCCGCCCGGCACGGCGCGCGCCGGCGCGCGCGCAGCGCTGCTGCCGGATCGCGCTCCGAGCAGCAGCCTGCCGGGCGGCCCTGTCGACTGGGAGACAGCATCTGGCCGCGCCCCCGCCCGCGTTGTCTATGGGGGAACAAAGTGGCATAAACATCAAAACTCGGAGGTCCGCGCGGATTTCTCGGATCGGCGCTGGGACCCCCCGGCGGCGCCTCGGGCGCCACCCCTGGCGCGCTCCGCGCGCCAGGGAGGGGGGTGCAGCGCCGATCCGAAAAATCCGCGCGGACCTCCGAGTTTTTATGCTTATGCCACTTTTTGTTCCCCTATTGTCCTTCGAGTGATCTGGGGATCCCGCCATGGCTCTCTAAGCGCCGCGAGCTCCCCGCGGCCAGGTTCTTCCGGGCGGGCACGGGCCCTTTCATCGAAGCTCGCGTGTGGGGCCCTGGCAGAGCTCGCGGACCTTGCGCGCCGCTGCGCAGGCCTTAACAGTTTCGGCTGGAAGCCCGAGGCGCCTCTTCGCTTCCAGAGTATACGTCGTGCAGATTCGCTGCGATGTGCGCGCTCGCTGTTTGGCGTTTTCTAATTGTCAGAAAGACCTGGGTTTCCTATCTCGCGGTAGACGACTCAGCGCGCGCCTGGATTTGCGCGCGGACGAGCGCGCGCATTAGTTTTTCCAACCCTCCTTGGGTATTCGTTCTGAATAGAGCACTGCGGTCGCGTCTTCTCCTCCTCCCGCCTCCCTCTTGTCTCCTCTTGCCTTGTGCGTACCTCTTGTGTATGCATCTTGCCTGCGGTACCTCTTGTATGTGCATCTTGCCTGGGGGTCTGCGATTTGCAAAACTGTCGCCACTTTCGAAGGCTGCCGGGGGGGGACAGCATAGTGGGTAGCCGCCGTAGCCGCCGCAGACCCAAATTAGACCTCGCCATCCTGGGGAAACTGCGATTTGCGAAACTGTCGCCACTTTCGAAGACTGCTGGGGGGGACAGCATAGTGGGTAGCCGCCGCAGACCCAAATTAGACCTCGCCATCCCTGGGGGGCTGCGATCTGCGAAACCGTCGCCACTTTCGAGGGCTACTGGGGGGGGACAAGATAGT